CCCCAAAACCCCAAAACCCCGATTGAGCTGAATATAATAATAAATTAAATTATTTAAATTTTCTCACTTCTTAATAAATAATTCAATAATCTTCATCTGAAATCCAATCATTTATTTTTAAAGGCTACTTGAATTACTTATTAGACTATCCAGATGAGGATAAAATCTTGCTGGAATTGCTTTTATTTTCTGAGAAGTTTAAATTTCTATCTAAATCTTATTGTGAAACTTTGGCTTGTTTAGATTCTCCTAGTTAAATTTACAAATTTAATTGTTCAATTTCTTAATTCAGATAACTATTGGAATCATACTTCTCAAAGACTTTTAAATCCTCTGTTGATTATTGTTCTTTAATTAAGAGATTCAATTCTTGTGAAAAATCCCTACTAAAATCTGAAATAACATCTGCCTCTTCTTTCTAACTAGGATTCCATATTGCTTTGCCAATATAATTTTCTTATTTTGGATTTTTCTCAATATCGATTCCTTGATTAACATTTTCATGAAGCTTTTTTGGATCATACAATTCATCAATCTCTATATATTAAGAGTTCTGTGTTTATTTTTTTAAACAGCTTTATTAATTTTCAGAAATTTTTTTCATTGATTGTGTCTTATTTTCCTACTATTTTATTCTTTACACTTTTCTATCCTTATTAATTAAGATCCTTGCTTTGATCTTATCATTGAAAAAAGATTCCTTCATTCTCTCTTCAATTGGTCTTGCTTTTACAGTATTTTTGTTGAATTTCATTTTTTTCTTAATGATTATCACATTCTCTTATTAACCACTGAAATTAACATAATCTATGCTCTATTGCAGATTACTGCTATTGTTTATTCTTAAATTCTTTGTTTAACTTTGACTTTCTAAAGTATGATTTGAAATCTCAATTGAATGATCATCTTCAGTATTTCTATCCCAGTTCTCTTCTTAGATAGAATTTCTAAAATCTATATTTACTTCTGTTGTTTAATTTTAAAATGTCACAGTTTTCAAATTTCTCAGCTTGTTTTGCTCATTTCTCCTTTCAATGTGAGATTAAGAAAGACTATTTATTTTTTATAGTTATTCATTAGATTATTAGGTGATTTTTTTCTTAAAAAACTAGCTCATTTATATCATATTCTTTTTAGAATCTGCTATTACCATTATTTTAGAGGAGTTTTTACTATTTTAATTGCTTTTCAGAGAAGCACTACTTTTAGATTTTCTTCTATATTAATTATCAGAAAATTTTATAGATTCTCTATCGCTAGAATTTCGATTATCAATACTTTATTAATCATCTTCAAATTCATCTAGATAATAAGTTGAATTTTACGTTTGTTCTGCATTATATCTGTATTCCTATAAATTAGTTGTGCTTTAATACAAATCTATAGTTGATTTATCAGAGTTCTTTTTCCATTTTTATTTTCTAGATTTTATAATTGACCTACCACTAGATTCTTTGCTACTGTGATTCTACTTCATTATTTTATCAAAACTCTCTACACTAAAGAGTATTAATAACTTTTCAGCATTATTTTTTGTAAATTTCAGTTCTTATGTTCTAAATTTGCTTGCTATATTTGTTAGCATCTTATTCAATTCATCATAGTATTAATCATTTTGTAATTTAATATCCTCCTCCACAAATTCTTAATTTAATCTGTTTTAGTTAAAGCATAGACAGACAATTAGGTAGAATTTTGTTAGTTTGGATCTCAGTTTAGATCTAATCTCACTATACATTTTTAGTAACCAAAATAAAAGGAAAACAATATTTGATAAAAGAATGAATGCTAAAAGACTTCTTTATGAATTATTGTCCAGAGATATAGCGCCTCTTGAATCATCAGGATTCTATTCTATCCATTATAGAGGTTTGTTTAAGATAAAAAATAGTCCACAGTAAATAGTTATCATAGAAGTTATTAAAGATAGTGACTCGAGGTCATTTAGTTCTTTAATTTAGAAAGGTTCCTTTTACAAATTAACCATTAAAAACCCTAAGAGTACGAAAAGCATAAATAAAGATTAAGCAATCACTCCAAAATTACTTACAAATACAGCTATCAAAATTATCAAGATTTTCCTATACATTATGACAATTTCCCAATAATAATAATCTATTTTATATCCTCTATAGAGAAAGCCATATTTTTATCTTATTTGAATTTTATCCAACTATTTATTTATTCTTTCAAGTATGATTAAAGCAAAAAACGGAATTCCCAGTCCCCAAACTATAATACTTGGTATTGCAACGTAATAACTATAGAATTTATGTTAAGTATTCCAACATAAGATTTCCAAATCGTCCTATATTCTCGACTCCCCATCTATATCTCTACAAATAAAGTTTGAGAATGAATATTAGACTAAACTTGGGTGTGCCAAGAATAGCAAAATAACTAAACTTGAAATGATTCTATCAGTAATATGAATCCGTTTAGATGACAATTTTTTTAAGATTAGCCAAACCAATATGCAAATGAATGTTAGTAGAAAAGGCAAAAATCCAATTATTATTAATTTCTGGAAAAAGAGTCTTGATTCTTAAGATTCATTTGATGCATTTTCATCTAAAAAACAATCAAAGCTGATTATCTAAGTTGATACTGTAGCTACTTATTTAGATGAACTTAAAAATTCTGAAATTTGTTGTGACCACTAGAAATCAAAAGATGCTGACATCATCAAAAGTTAAAAATGATTCAATAGAATTTTTTGGAAAATATTGGTATAATTTTGTTTATCCTTTGCACTCATAAGTGTTGACCTTATCATCAATACCACAATTAGTATGAATCCAATCATTATAGCTAAAAGTCTCAAAACATTTAAAATTGGCTATGGACATTAGCTACATTAGTTATTGTCAACTCTAGAATAGCCTTTATTACAAGTTCCACATAGAATACCTTTATATCCTTAAGAGCATTCTCCTAAAGGATTATTATTTGGAGGAACCATTCCAAGACAAGCTTATTGTTGCATGCATTAAATAAATGTCTTGGAATAATTTGATTTTCTCCAATAGCCTGGCAAAGGTCCGATATTTGAACCTCCATAGCATATTGCTTTTCCAGCTGGACATTCTTCACATTCACCAGGCACTTTCATTTATGTTAGGGAGAAACTATCTACACATGATTCACATTTTCCTGATGAAGTAAATTGCTCCCCAATTAAACATTCTCTTACATTCATTTTTATGCTTAAATCTAAGTTAGTAGTATTTTGTAAATTCATAGCTTCAACATTTGACTTTTTAGTAACATCAATACCGTCAGTAGAGAAGATCAATTCGAAGCTAACTCCAGGTGTTCCAACAAAACATAAATCTTCTATAACAGCAATTCCTCCAATCATTAAATAATTAATTCCCCCTTCAATGATAGGAGGATACATGCTCTGTTGCTAATCTAAATTAGATGTCTCAACAGTAACTCGAACCTTGCTTTTAAAATCAGACCCAATTATCTATCCATATTTATCAATTAAGGCTAAGTAAAGAGTTTTAACATTTCCTCCACTTCTTTGTTAATTTATTTCATCAGTTTAATTGCTTTAGATAAATTCTTAACTGATTTTAGTTAGTTACAATCTTCTTTTTTCCGTCATAAGTCCGATTTTTTTCAAATGATTTAAATATTATTCTAAGTTAATTGACTTAAGATTTTGAGCGATTGATGCAATGTCATCTCCATATTGGTCAGCGCTGTTATTTATGAAATTTATATTTTCTTGCTAAAAAATAGGTTCCAATTCATCCCAGTAAATTGCACCACCTTGAATCTAAGCATAATTATCTTTAAATGTATTAACTCCTGAAATTGTGAGTTTACAATTTAATAAATCAGAGTTGCAAGTAAAATAAACAGCTCCCCCACTACCCAAATAATCTATATTACAGTTAATACATATTGTAAGTACCTTAATAATTATATGTCTACATATTTGAATAATAAACTTTATTTCTTTCAAATGCGCAATTTTTGATAATCATAGATTGAGGGTTATTTGAGTAAATTGCACCACCGATGTTTGAAGAACAGTTCATGAAATTTGTGTTTTCAAATGAATACTTTTGATTTACTTCTTCATAACTTGTTCCTTTACTCTAATCCATGTCTGTTATGTATATTGCACCTCCATAAAAAGATCTAAAATTTTAAAACTCTGAATTGCTTATTTGAAGACCTTTACAATAATTACAGTTTATCGCCGCACCAAGTGACTATCCATTGCTGTTAGTTATGTCAACTAATTTGAGCTAATCTGCTTTAAGCTTTGCTTGTTCGATAAATATAGAATTCTATGAATTTCGCTTATTTATGGTTACTTAGCTCAAACAAATAGTTTTGTTAGAATTAGTCACATAAATGTCCTCTCCATTATCAAATGCTAAATTACCATCAAACAATGTGCCTTCAGAAATTTGGATATCTAGAAAGCCAGATATAAATATTGCTCCTCCTTTTGAAAAAGCTTTATTGCCTAAGAATTTAGAATTTTAAATAATTATTCTACTATCTCCTGATACATATATTGCTCCTCCTAATTTTGCCATTCCATTTTTAAAAACAGTGTTTATTATATTGAGATTCACATCGAATATTAGAAAAAGAAAATTGCCATTTGTCTGATCCTAATTTATAGAACTGATCCAGTTAATCGGTAGTGTATTCAGAAAGTAACAACTCGAAATAGTCATATTGGTATATCCACTGAGAATGTTCTTACTCCTTTGTTTTGCAACATTATAAAGAAATTGAGTTTTAGATATTGTTACCACTGAATATATAAAAGAGAGAGTATTCTTGGTTGCTATATTTTCAGAGAATTCACTTGAAGTTATCAAAATATTTTCATTCAATTTGGAACTTAAGACTTCAATTGCAGAGTTTTGAAAAGCCTCATTTTAAGTGAATTTAGAATTAGATATTTTCATCATTGATTAGGTTGATAAGAATATAACTCCAGCAGATTCTTGTGCGATATTATTACTGAATTCACAGTTGCTAATAATTAATTTAGAGTCTGAAACAGCGAATATTACTCCACCTGTTTTAGCTATGTTATTTTAGAACTTTGAATTTGTCAATGTCATTTATGTTTCTTGAGCATTAATAACTCCGCCTTGTATTCCTGAATTATATTAATAGAGTGATTCTGAATCTTCAAAAATTGATTAGTAAAGGTTAAACACTCCACCGTTTTTCGATAGAGCACAATACTTAAAGATATTTCCAATAGATTTTACTTAAACTGCATTTTTAATTCTGAAATAGTCATCAACAGTAGTACTATAATCTAAATTTAATATTTTTTGTTTCTAAGCTAAATATTCTTGATATGATTAGCATAAAAATACACTCCTAGTAATCTAAAATACCAAATTTTATGATTCTGAGTACATGAAAAAAGACTATTGAGAATCAATATTTGAAAACTTAGAATCAATTATTGTAATATTTTAAGTATTCAAAATATGTAAGAGGCCACTTGATTCAGTAATAACATCATCTACTTTGACATTTATCAACTAGATATTCATTAATCTTTGATTTGCATAAATTAATCCTGCTTTTTAAGACCTAATGCCTGAAATATTACAATCTTTAAATACTATATTCGTTTAGAATGGCTGAGACATTGTTTGAGTATAGATAATACCACCTTCAGCCTTAGTAGAAATGTTTGAGAAAGTTACGTTTTCAAAATAAGTATTACTATTGTCTTGAGAGTAAATAATTGCAGCTTATACTATTGAATGGATGTTTTTGAATCTTACATTTTTAAAAACAGTAGTACTTTAGACAAGAACAAACTAAGGTCCTTGACAGGCATGATTCTCATATATTGAACCACTATCTTCAAAATAAGCTCTTTCCATAAACATAAGTAATGATAAATCCTAGTTGATACAATTTTTAAAAATGTTGTTCTTAGAATACATCTTCTAATATGCTTCTAAACGGATTAATACAATAGGCTATCGATATATACTCTTAACTAAGTTATTCATTCTTATATAATTGCACTCTACTATAGAATCCCTCATCTAGATAATTGCATCTTTTGATCTTTAAACATCAGAATAAAGAAAAAGCGCTCCTTCTAACCCACTCATAGTTGAAAAAGTGGTCTTTTAATACTTTGGATGAGTAGATATATCTAGAATGCCTGAAAATTGGTTTAAATATATTACTCCTGAACTCTATGATGTTGTATTAAATAGTGTAATTGATTCAATCTTGAAGCTTTAAGAGTAACTATTCGCCACTAGTATTAATTATGAACCTCCTCTGGAATAAATATTGATAAAAGTGGAATTCCTAATGGTATGATTGATCAATGTATATTACTTCGGGAGTGACTCTTAATAACCAAAAGATCCACCAGGACCATGTGTAACATTTAGGTTTTTAACTATTACTCCTTATATAAATGTGTTTGAATGATAGGTATCAATTATCGAGTTTGATTGAAATGTAAAATCTTCGTAAGTGGAGTTAAATATATAAGTTTTATAACTATAAATGTTAAATAAGGCAGAACCAAATTTAATAGATATGTTTTTGTAAGAAGATCCTATATCAATGAATTGTATGACTCCTTTAGATATCTCAACCA